AAACTCTTTAGTCAAGTTTTGATACTCATTCATTGATTCAAGAAACAGTTGTTGAGCCTCTACCATGTGGGAACAGAACAAGAACCTGAAGGAAAGAGGGAGAGAAAGGCAAGTAAAGAGGCAAACACAAACATGGACAAGAATACTCAACCCAATCTTTAGAGACGAAGAAAATCTGAACAGAAGTAATGATATCCAAGCTGAGATCTAAAGGAAAAGGAGAGAGTGAACAGGTTATGGCAGAAGAACAGTGTTCCAAACAATGGGAACATCATRGTYAACAACCTCAGAAGTGAGAAAGAGCATAGAAAATTTAGGAAATACAAGTAATTCAGGTCAATGAATACATTATGCTTTATGTCTTTCTGCTGAAACTCTCTATACTGTTAAGCTTAAACTGGCTATGAAAATAAACTGTTTATGTACTTGACTTCTAGGAGGTTCTCTTCCTATGCCTTTAACAATTCCTTTTCAAGGAAAGAACCCTTCTGAACTCATTTTATGAAGCTGGTATCACCCTGATACCAAAGCCAGACACAGACTCAAAGGAAAGAAAATTTCAGACAATGTCCCTGATAAACACTGATGTAAAAATTATCAATAAAATACTGGCAACATATTTAAAAGATAGTGTACCATGATCAAGTGAGGTTCATCCCAGGGATCAAGTTTAGTTCAATATATGGAAATCAATAAACACAATTGACACATCAATAAACTTAAAGACAAGAATCACATGATTATCTCAAGAGATGCAGAAAAACATTCAAAAAATTGAGAATCCATTCATGGTCAAAACACTAGAAAAATTTGGCATAGTAGAAACATAACTCAACATTGTAAAAGCTGTATATGCTAAACCCAAGACCAACATCATTCTAAATGCAGAAAATTTGAAATCATTCCCTCTAAAAACTGGAATAAGAGGGAATTCATGTCTCCAAAACCACCACCACCACCCTGTGATTCAACATAGTCCTAGAAACTCTAGTCAGAGCAATCAGAAAAAAAGAAAGAAACCAAAGGGATACGAATGGGAAAAGAAGAACTCAAAATACTCCTATTTGCCAAGGACATGATTCTATATTTAGAACACCCAAAAAAACTCTACATGAAAGATCATAGAACTTGTAAATGAACTCATCAAAGTAGCAGGGTTTAAAATCAAAACCAATAAATCAATTGCATTTCTATACACCAAGGATATATAAGCTGAAAGAGAAATCAGGAAAACTATCCCCTTTATAATAGCCTCAAAAATATAATATATTTGTGAATCAACCTAACAAAAGAGGTGTAAGATCTCTATAATGAAAACTACAGAACACTAAAGAAAGAAACTGAAGAAGACTTCAGATAATGGAACTATCTCCCCATGYTCCTGGATAGGCAGAATCAATGTTATCAAAATGGCCATACTATCAAAAGTGCTATGCAGATTTAATGCAATTCCTATAAAGATCCCAATGATGTTCTTCACAGGAATAGAAAAAGCAATCATGAAATTCTTTTGGAAAAATAACAGGCTCAGAATAGCATGCTTAGCCAAAAAATGATGCAAGAGGCACCACAATACCAGAACTTATATTATACTACAGACTATAGTAACAAAAACAGCATGGTATTGGCACAAAAACAGGCATGAAGACCAACAGAACAGAATGGAACACACAGAGACAAACCCACCTAAATACAGTTATCTCATACTAGACAAAAGCACCACAAACATACATTGGAGAGAAGATAGCCTCTTCAACAAATGGTGCTGGGAAAAATGGAAATCCAGACATAGTAAAAYGAAACTGAACCCTTATCTTTCACTGAACACAAAACTCAGTTCAAACTGGATTAAGGACCCAGGCATTTGACCAGAGACCCTGTGCCTACTAGAAGAAAAATATAGGCCCAACACTCCATCATGTAGACTTAGGAACCTAATTCCTCAATAAGACTCCTAAAGCACAAGAAGTAAAATCAAGAATCAATAAATGGGATGGTATCAAACTGAAARGCTTCTTCACAGCAAAGGAAACAATTGATAACATGTACAGAGATCCTACAGACTGGGAGAAAATCTTCACCACCAGTACCTCAGATACAGCATAATTTCCGGGATATACAAAGAACTCAAAAAACGTAACACCAAAAAAAAAAAAGAAGAAGAAGAAGAAGAATCCAATCAATAAACAGGCTAAGGAACTGAGAAGTACTTTATAGAAGAAGAAATACAAATGGCCAATAAATATATTAAAAATGTTCAACATCTTAAGCAATTGGAGAAATGCAAATTAAAACAGTGTACACTGAGATTCCAACTCACTCTAGTCAAAATGGCAATTATAAAGAATACAAATAWCAATAAATGTTGGCAAAGATATGGGGAGAAATGTACTCTCATACATTGTTGGTGGGACTGCAAATTGGTGAAACCACTATGGAAGTCAGTATGAATATTCCTTACAAAACTTGGAATGGAACCACCATTAGACCCAATTTTCCCACTTCTTGGTCTATACCAAAGGACTTTAAAACAGCATATAACAGTGACACAGCCACATCCATGTTTACAGAAGCTCAACTCACAATACCCAAGCTATGGAAACAACCTAGGTGTCCTTCAAAGGATGAATGGATAAAGAAAATGTGACATACATACACACTGGAATGTTACTCACCATAAAGAAGAACAAAATTATGGTATTTGCCTGTAAATGGATGGAATTGGAGAATAACATGCTAAGTGAAATAAGCCAACCCCCCAAAAACCAGAGGCCAAATGTTCTCTCTGATTTGTGAATGCAAACCCAAAACAAGGGAAGTAGGAGAGGGGAATAATAGAAACACACTGGATTAGACAAAGGGAAATGAAAGGAAGGGAGGAATAGGGGAATAGGAAATAGAGTAGAATTAATTGGTCATAATTTTCCTAGCCTTGAATTTGTGTTCACAACCAGAGTAACTCCACCTCATGTACAACCACAAAAGTGGGATCCTAAATAGAATAAGTTATACTCTATGTATGTATATTCTGCCAAAATACATTCTACTGTCATGTATAACTAAAAGAACAAATAAAAAAAAGAACATGGAAGATATAAACCAAAGCCACATGGTTAAAACCATTTCTAATTTTTAATGAGAAATATAAAATCTCTTGAGCATATGTTGGGGAAAAATTCCTTTTCAACCTTCTCTACCGTGTCCTAGTTATCATCTACACTTCTAGTCACTGGAGTGAATTGACCTCAACTTCAGGTACTGTCCTTTTTCTTCTGCACTCACTCTCAAAAGATTGCACCCAGGGATCACATTTGCTCACAACTACCAAATATTCCATCTTCTCTGAACTCTTGACTCTTAGTTCCAATCCTTTGCTTCACTTCCCCACTTGACTATCTAACAGACATCTCAAAGATAAATCTAAAACCTGACTCTTGACATTTTCCCCACAAATTTTTTTTTCCTGTTTGCTCATCTTAGTAAATAGTAATTTTGTTCTTCTAGTTGCTCAGGGCAAAATCTTAACATCATCTTTAACCCTACTCTTTCTCTGATACTCACCTATAATCCATTTGCAAATCCTATCCATTTTAACATGAAAACATTCATAATCCTATCACTCTGCAACTGCCTGCACCACTACCACTCTAATTCAAGCCATTGTCATCTCTAGCCTGGTACTTTCCAACAGCTTCATAACTGTGCTTCTGCTTCTGCCTTTGTTCTCTACATCCATTCTCAATACAGTAGCTCGAGATATCCTTTTTAAAATATGTCAGATCATATCATTCTTCTGCTCAACCCTCTTTTAGCTTACAATGTAACTCAGGGTAAAGGCCAAATTCCTTAAAAGTAGCCCATGAGTTTTGTTTTGTTTTTATGATCTTGCTAATGAATATATCCCTGGTTTTCTTCTTATGACATTTCCCCTTACTCATTCTGATTCAGCCACACTGACATAGCTGGTCCTCAAATGTAGTCAGTTCCTTCTTTCAAATATTTAAATGGTACACTCTTTTACTTTATTCAAGTCTCTGCTCAGATATCAACTCCTCAATGAAGCCTTCTCTCTATTCCCAGTATAAAACATCTCCTCTTTGCCCCATCCCTCTTGTCGTGTAGCCCTTATCTGTGTTAAACTGAATTAAATAAATATATATTACATATATATTTCCCTATCCTAGAATATAAATCTTCTAGAGAGCACAGGTGTGGTTTCTTTACTCTTGCAACCAGAACTATAGAATACTGCCCAGATCATAAGCCTACAATAAATATCTGATAGATTAATAAATAAAAACTAAAAATATTATAAATTTTTATGACAAAACTATTAACAAGTTTCTATTTTAAGAGCCACTTAAAATATGAAAAACTAAGTAATACTGTGACTTTTTTCCTTATAATCTACACACATACACACACACACACACAAGGTTCACTGGCAAGGCCTTAACAATCAAAAGACTTTATAATACTCTTCTCCTTCCCTTGGTTTGGCACTTCCTGATACATTATAGGGATACATTCAGTTTCTATGTTATATTAAAATCAATCAATATTTCACCTATAATTCATCTGTATTAGTTGATAACAGTACTTTGTAAACATTTATAAAACATCAATATAGAAAAATAGCAAAACCATAGGGAGACAATTCAAAGAAGAAATACAAACAGGGCTGGGGATGTGGCTCAAGCGGTAGCGCACTCGCCTGGCATGCGTGTGGCCCAGGTTCAATCCTCAGCACCACATACAAACAAAGATGTTGTGTCCGCCAATAACTAAAAAATAAATATTAAAAAAAAGAAATACAAACAGTAGATAAATATATGAAAATGTTCATTTAAGTTAATGTTCCTTAATGTTTAATAGTCTAAATGGCTTAGGGAGAAGGAAAGCAGAATCGCTTAAGAAAACCAATACCTGCAAGAAGTTTCTTATAGAAGCAAGAAAATGAAATAATTGAAAAACTAAGCAAGGGTATGGGATTGAACTACCTGTGATGGAGCAATAGATGATGTGAGGAGCAATCTTGTCTATATCTTCATACCCCAGGCCCATTGTGGACAGTTTTCCAGGGACATAGTTTTCCACAAATACATCACAAACAGCTGCAAGCTGAAGGAAGAGATAAAGATGAATCAGACTTCTTAAGGGACTTCCAAACTGTAACAACTTTCCCACATAATAGGACTTTAATTTCAACAAACACAATTGATTCTTAATTTGCAATAGTCCATAAAAAAATAGAGAATAGATAAAGTAGATTCATATAAACATGAGAAGCCATAATCAACTATTTGAAGTATTTGTCAGTAAAATAATAGCTATTAACATGATATTAAGTAGTTTTTACATCCTTCAAATGTAAGAAATATTTAGGCTAAGTGATCTGTCTAAATATATTTTAAGAAGTATAGGTAGACAGGCACAGTGGCACATGCCTGTAATCCCAGTGGCTCAGGAGGCTGAGGCTGAAGGATTGTGAGTTCAAAGCCAGCCTCAGCAATTTAGCAAGGCCCAAGCAATTTAGCAAGATCCTGTCTCAAAAAAAAAAAAATGTAAATGGGCTATGGATGTGACTGAGAGGTTAAGTGCCTATGGGTTCACTTCCTGGTTTAAAAAAAAAAGTGTATATATATATATATATATATATATATATATATATATATATATATTCTATTCAACATAGTCCTTGAAACTCCAGCCAGAACAATCAGGCAAAAGAAGGAAATTTTAAAAGATACAAATTAAAAAAGAGGTTAAATAATCTGTTTTGCTAATGACATGATCTTTCATTTAGAAGACCCCAAAAAATCTACCAGAAGATTTACAGAGCTGATAAAGTTAGTTAAGTAGAAGAATATAAGAGAAACATAGATAAATCAATCACTTTTCTAAACTCCAATAATGAATCTGCTGAGAAATAAATTAGGCAAACTTCCTATTCACAATAACATCAAAAAATAAAATAAAATCTTTGGGATTTGATACAACAAAGCAGTGAAGGACCTTTACAATGGAAACTATGGAACTCTGAAGAAAGAAATTGAAGACCTTAGAAGATAAAAAGGGCTCCCATGTTCTTGAATAGGCAAAATTAATATTATCAAATGGCCATATTACCAAAAGTGCTATACAGATTTAATGCAATCCTCATCAAAATACCAATGACATTCTTCACAGAACTAGAAAAAGTTCTAAAATTCACTTGGAAACATAAAATATCCAGAATAGCCACAGCAATCCTGAGCAAGAGGAGCAATGTTGAAGGCATCACAATACTGAACCTCAAATTATATTACAGAGCTGTAGTAATCAAAACAGCATGGTACTGGTACTAAAACAGTCATGAAGACTGATGGAATAGAAGACACAGAGACAAATCCACATAGATGCAGACCTCTGATACTTGACAAAGGTGCCCAAAACTTATGTTGAAAAAAAGAGCCTTTTCAACAAATGGTGCTGGAAACTTGTCCCTTATCTCTCACCCTGAACACATCAATTCAAAGTGGATCAAAAACCTAAGAATTAGACCAGAAAAAATTCTGCAACTGTTAGGAGAAAATATAGGCCCAACATCCCAACATATTGGCATAGGCTTCAACATTCTTAACAAGACTCCTAATGAACAAGAAGTAAAGCTAAATATCAGTAAGTGGGATGGCATCAAATTAAAAAGCTTCTACAAAGCAAAGGAAACAAGTAAGAGTGTGAAGAAAGAGCCTACAGAATGGAAGAACATCTTTGGTACCTGTTTCTCAGATAGTGCATTAATATCCTGAATAAAAAAGAAGTTTAAAAACACCAAAAAATAATAATGCATTAATAAATGGGCAAAAGAACTAAACAGTCACTTCTCAAAAGAAGAAATACAAATGGCTARTAAATATATGAAAAAATGTTCCAACTTCTCCAGCAAATCTGAGAAATGCAAATCAGAACTACATTGAGATTTTATCTTATTCCAATCAGAATAGCAATTATCAAGAATACAAATAATCTGGGTACAGTGGTGCACACCTGTAATCCCAGCAGCTTGTGGGGCTGAGACAAGAGGATAACAAGTTCCAGGCCAGCCACAGCAATTTAGTAAGACCCTAAGCAAATTAGTGAGACCCTGTCTGAAAATAAAAAATTAAAAGGACTAGACATGTAACTCAGTAGTACAGTACCCCTGAGTTAAATTCTCAGCATAAAAAAATATATAAATAATAATAAATGTTGGTAGGGATGGGAGAGAAAAGGTACAGTCATACATTGTTGATGAGACTGCAAATTAGTGCCACCACTATGAAAAGCAGAAAATGCCGAGAAATGGATAAAACTGGAGACCATCATGCTAAGTGAAATCATCCAGACACACTAAGTCAAAGATCAAATGTTTTCTCTGATATACTGAAGTTACTCCAAAATAAGAGGGGGAGGAGTGGTGGAGGGGATTTCATCAAAATAGAAGAGGAATCAGTATAATTGAAAAAGAGTATTCAGATGCTGGGGGTGCTGGATAAGAGAACAGTGGAATGAACCTGACTTAACATTCCTATGTACATATAAGAATATACCACAGCAAATCTCACCTTTATGTATATCCACAAGGCACTAATTTACAAAAAAAAATTATAGGGCTGGAGTTGTGGCTCAAGTGGTAGAGCACTCACCTAGCATGCATGAGGCACTGGGATTGATCCTCAGCACCATTCAAAAGTAAAATAAAGATATTGTGTCTACCTAAAACTAAAAAATTAATATTTTTTAAAATATCAGTAGAGTATAGGGAAGGGAATCGGAGAGGGAGCAGGGAAGGGAAAGAGAAAGGGAAAGACTGAGTTAGAGCAAATTATATTCTATGCTTTTATAGTTATGTCAGAACAAATCCTAATGTTATGTATAACTAAAAAGAACTAATTGAAAATATAAAAAGAAGTATAGGTATATAATAGAATATGCATATATAAAGTTTAGGAAAACATATTTTGAAACCTTTACCAAAAATAACGAAATACAGTATCTTCACTACTCTCCACTCCTTTTATGTAATATACCTCATTACAATATACCTCATTATAATATACCTCATCACATGCACTTAGTTTACATGTGATTCTGAAATGTCTTCACACTTTTCAGATGCTTTCTTTCCAAAGTTTTAAATGTCTTTTTGAACCATTGTTTTGTTTTGTTTTGTTTTGCAGCCCAGTGAATCAGCAACTGTCAGAAACAGAACTTAGATTTTGATTACTAGACAACAGCAAATAGATTTAGAGGACAATCAACCATTGCAAACATTAATCTTAATTTTATTTTCAAAATCTCAAATGTGACTGCATACCTTTTAAAAAATTTTTTTATTTAAAATCATGACAAAAATTGTAGTAGATCACTCAGAGACATTGATTATAATCATTCTAGAATATATCCAGGAGCCTAATAACTATTCAACACAATTTTTTTTTTGGACTAGTGATARGCTCAATGATACAGCACTTGCCTAGCATGAACAAGGCCCTGAGTTAAAGCCCCGGCACTGCAAATACATAAATAAATAAAAAATTGTTATTCCCACATTCACATAGATTTTAAATATATTCACATACAAAAAAATTAACATAATAAGACTCCAGATCAACAGTCAGCAAACTTATCAAGGGTCAAGTAGTGAACATTTTAGGCTTTTCAATCCACACACATTCTCTATCACACATTCTTCTTTATTTTTCTTTAACAATCTTTTGTAATTTTTTATATTGATGCATTATAATTATATATAGTAATAGAACACATTGTTGCATATTTGTGCATGCACACAATATAACAAAATAACTTGGTCAATTTTGTTCTCTGTACCTCCCCTTTCCCTTTCCACCTCCTCCTCGCTCCTCTTCCCCTCCCTCTAGTCTCCCTTCTGTTTTTCTTTAACAATCTTTAAAAATGTAACATCCAGGGTGCTGGGGATATAACTCAGTTGGTAGAGTATTTGCCTCACATGCTCAAGACCCTGGGTTCAATCCCCAGCACCGTCAAAAAAAAAAAAAAAGTAACATCCATGGGTGTACAAAAGCAAGCCCAATTTAGCTCACAAACTTTGCCAGCCTCTACTTTAGATAGTATAGGTTGAATTAATATAAACTTTGGATGTACACATGTAAATAATAAAATAATAAATTGTCAATGTGTAACTAAACTTGGAGATTATAGATGGAAATGACTTGCTTAACAAATTAAGAGGCTGAGAAAATCTTAGGTGCTATCTCAAGGAAAGAAGCTTTCATTCTCCAGAGCTCTTGAAACAAAGGCCCTAGAAACCCAGATAATTACCTCTCAGGAGAGGAATGATAAAAACATTAAGAATAGAATAAGGCCCTAGGTTCAATCCACAGCTGAAGAAGTAGTGGGGAGAAGAAAAAGAAGGAGGAGGAGCAGGAGAAGGAAGAACAGGAGGAGGAGGAGAGGGAGGGAGGGGAAAAGAAAGGAGAATGAAGAGAAGAATAAGGAAGAGAGAAAGAGAGAGAACATGTTAATCAATTTTCTGTAGCTATACCTGAGGCTAGGTACTGTATAAAGAAAGCATTTTAGCCAGGCACACTGGTGCATGCCTATAATCCCAGTGACTTGGGAGGCCAAGGCAGAAAGATCACAAGTTCGAGGCCAGTCTCAACAATTTAGCAAAGCTCTAAACAACTTAGTGTCTCAAAATTAAAAGAAATAAAAAGAGTTGGGGATGAAGTTCAATGGSAAATCATCTCTGSATACAATYCGCAGTACSAAAAGAAAAAACAAAGTGGTTTAGGGTTGGTAGTATAGGTCAATGATAGAGAGCTTGCCTTACATGTGCAAGGCCTTGGGTTTGAACACCAACACAAACACACACACAAGTTATTTTCTTCACAGTGTTAAGTTCAAGGGCCTAGTGCCAGTATCAACTCAGCTCTGGTGAAGACCTCATGTCAGAGAGCATCACAATGGCAAAACACATGCAATAGGGATCTTGGTGAAGTGGGAAGCTAGAGAGCAGGGAAGGAGTCAGGCTTGCTCTTCTATAACACCTCACTTGAGTGAAAACAACCAGGATCCCGCAAGAACTACCTTAATCCCTTCTGAGGGCAGCACCTCCA